GAACAGAAGCAACATAACGATCGTTGTTTGATTAATGTCGGTGCATATCTTTCGGATATAAAATGAGATACTCCCTCCGTCTCATATATTTCTTCCCAGAGCACTATTACAACTTCACGAGAATTTATATTTATTTACGTTTCTTCTTCGTCTGTATGATAAAATTAAATATTTTTGTTAACATTTATTTTGTTAAACTTTTGTGCGTACAAATAGCTTATTAATTATATACTTCCTCCGTCCCAAATTATTTGCATCGTTTGCTTTTTCAGCAGTCATGAGAACTTTTGTTTATTTCTACGTTTTCATTGGTTATTTGATAAAATAAAATATTCTTGACACCTCCTATTTCGAATAATTTTTCATGTAGTTTTTTGGTATGTAAATTTTATTTTTTATTTCTATACCAATATGTAAATAAAATGAATTGAAAAAATTTAATATTTTGCCGTGAGAATACAAATGTGACAAATATTTAGGGACGGAGGGAGTAAATAATTAAAGAGATTCACGGAACCGAAGTAACGGCCGTTGTTGAGTAATAAGACGAGACGACGATGAGGTACGGGGAGGAGTACGTACGTACAGAAGGAACAGTAGAAAACTCCGTATATGTCACAGTGTACTTTTCAATTGATGCATGTGCATGCCCAAACACTTGTAAAAACACAGCAGAGATATAATTAGTTCACTCCTTTTCTTGCTTCAATTATATTCCTGCACACTTTGCTTCATAGCCCTGCCCTGTTTTTCTAAGTACGAATCCGATTATTTTTTATTATTCAATCGAGGTCGCTGGATAAAGACTTCTAGACGAATTGAACAATCAGGTTAAATGGGTCACAGGCCGTTGGATATATGTATCCAACTGAAAATTAGGACTAAAGACAAACGAGTTGCTAGAAATAAACGTCTAAACAAACACCTTGACAAAAAATATGTACCAAAATCTGCTCTGATACCATGATAGAATTTAGAATGAGATAACGATTACCGGATTCGGCATTAAGACATATGAGTTAAATCACATTAAAAGATTGAATCCAATCAATTACTTAGTGAAATTCAAGAATATACATACCGATTATTTTACTCTTAAATTTCAAATGTGGGATAATCGCTAAGACATACTTTCTTTGCATATTTTCATTGATTAATTGATAAAATAAAATACATTGATCTTCCAATTAGTCTTTTTGACTTGTCCTTCATTGATATTCTCACTACCTTTTATTCATATTTTAAATAATAAACTACTTTCAATTACTTTATTTACGGAGTATTAGATATTATCTAGCTCATTGATACACTCCGCCCATTTTCATTAAAAATACTTTGGTAAACTTTTAATATAAAGAGGATAGTATTACCACCACTTATTTTATACGGAGTGCAATTTTTAAAATACTTTTTTAAATACTCCGGAATATATGTAATTTTATAAGAATAAAATCACAAGTTGTAACTTAATAGTCACCAAATTTATTTTAAAAAAAATGACATGTAACCTCAAATGACCGCCTATGATGTTTTGAGTTCGCTTTCGATTTTAGCGTGTCAAGGTCTATCAAGAAATGAGTAGCTCAATTGGTCCAAGGAGAATATGTGAAGTTCATTAATCCTAGAGTCAAATCCCGGTAGCAAGAGTGTAATACTCCCGGTAGCAGGAGTAGCTTCTTGTTCATACCGAGCACGAAATGGCCTCTCTAGGGCCTCTGAGAAGGATGTTTTGTTGAAAGAAAAGATAGAGGTCAGGTAATTGCACCGGGAAACGAGGAGATCATCAAAAAGGAAATGAAATCTCTTTTTCTCCGCCTTCATAGGCACACAACACAGGAAATATTGCTCCGTACGGCGTCCAACCGGTCAAACTGGTACACAGTTTCCAGTAATCCATGCACATGCACTTCTGCAACCTCCTAATAACCAGAATTCTTTATTCCCACTTTTCTCTCTTTTTAATTTCTTTTTTCAAACCAAATCTTAATTTCACAGACCACGTATCTCTTCTCTTTTTTCTTCTCCACGCATTAAACAAACCTATTACTGTTAATCAGGGTAAAAATATTGACTTTTGAATTACTACTCCTTGTTTTGGATCAGTAATATTATAATTAAGCATTAAAGTCGTAGAGTAAAAGTCAATTTAATTTGTGAGAGGGTCTTAACGACTTCGCAATTAATTTATGAGTAGTGTACGTACTTAGCTTGAACAATGTATCTTTACTGTTTTTAAAAAAATTTGTGTCATTAATATTAATTAAGTAATGAGTAGATGGATATTTAAAAATGGGGGAGTATTTGTTTGATTCAGACAATTCATACATCTTACCCCCAAGTCTTGTCACCCACCAGAAATTCATTATGGGACAAGGACAAGGTTTCCATGACATTAGTTTTCAATGTCATGAGATGATTCGGGGGCGCTCCAGTACCCCGTTTGTAAAATTGACGGTTTCACTCTCCCGGTAAATTCTTCACCCCCTTCAATTTCACCTCACATGTTGATTTTGACTTTGAAATCAAATTTTGACTCCAAAGTCAAAATCAACTTGTGGGGTGAAATTGAAGGAGGTGGGGGTGTGTTTAGGTCGGCGCGGGGTGAGGGAGTTTACTGGGGTTAAGGGGTAGGAACCGTCAATTTTAAGAACGGGGCACCGGAGCACCTCCGGGTCATCTCATGATATTGGTTTCTAATGTCATGAGAACCTTGGTGATGAGACAAAGTCACACAAGAAGACCCAATTATACTCCAATTCATCACCCGCTTCCCTCCATTTTATTTTATTTCTTACGATTTGATATTTGAAATTGTGCGAACAAATTACAAAACAAATGAAGGCCTGTTTTTTCTTATCATTTATTGCATTCTTTATCAAACGATGCCTATATACAATGCACCCATATATATTATACCCCTCTAATTTCGATAAATCAGTGAACCAAATGACTCGGAACGATAAACTCGGCAAGGAAATGTGTTAATTTTGTCTTTAATTTGTAAAAAATGTCTCAAATGTAACTTTAGAAATATTTAAGTATGTGTCTTAGACGTCATATATACAATTACACATTATTAGCTAATAAAGTAATTGACTGGGTTATTTATCGATTCGTTTTATTTGCAGTTATGTGACCGGTAAATTGAGTTTTAGTATTAAACGGGTTGGACTTTGGAGTATCGCTTATTTTTTAAAATAATCTACACACTTTGTTAGGTATTTAAAAAAGAAATACACCCTAATTTCATGAAACTGTTTTTTTTTTACAAAGAAAAAAAAAGAAAAAGTAAACTAGGTAGAAAGTTTAAATTCTCTATAATGTCATGTCTATGAAAGTGAATATACATTAACCATAGGAATACAACAAGTAAAAAAAGAAAGTAAGAGCGAGTAAGTGGGCGGCCCACAAATTAACCCAAGTAAGGTCAACAGGAGACGTGTAAAGCCCAATAGATATGGACCCCACCCCCACTACGTCCTTTCTCCTGGTACACACACTTCAAAAAAAAAAAACGCCCGTGTTCTGTCCTTTCCTCCTACAACCCACATGAAACATTTTACCCCCACCCCCGAACCCCAACCCAACTCCGACCCCGACATTAGACGTTTGGATTTTTTGGAAATCTGAGGTGAAAAGTTTTAAACTTATAAAACGTTTATAATATTATTTTAATAAATATAAACGAGTGCTAGTTCATAAAAGGTTATAAATAATTATGTAACTTATTTGGTCAAACTAGAAAAATAAAGATCTACTTATTTTCCTTATTTATAAACACAGTATATCCAAAAACCAATCCATGAATTGAGTCAATTGACACAATAAATTTAAAAAAGACCAAATATGTTTTCAATCTTGGCCTCTGAAATATGTGATTTTTCTTCTAAGTCTCTGCGAAATAGATTCGTTAAATGATTCGTACAAAGTTTTTTTCTTTTTAGTCTCCGCAAAATATATTCCTTAAATCATTCGTACAAAGTTTTTCTTTTTAGTCTGAAATAATTTTTACTTTGAAACTATCAAGATAACACATTTATTTTGTACTAAATATCTTAGTATAATACTTTTTCTATCTCTGACACAATTCTTAAGTTCTAAATTGTACTCTTATTCATATTGTATCTCCAAATTCTTAATATTTATGAATGCTGTATATCATAATTTAGAAATTGAAGATTTAATTTGATGAAAGACACGAACTATGGCATTAGCTCACAACTCTTAGGATAATTAGAAATGTGAGATTGTAACGTTGAAAGCAAAGTAAACATGTTATGGAACTCCTTCCGACCTAAAATATTCTTTGCGTTTCTGATTTTGTATTTACGAGGTTTGACTAATATTATTTTTTATTTAATTTATTTGATTGTACGTGTAAAATTAAAATATAACATTTATATATGCTACAAAATAAGATGTGATAAGACTATATTATTTTATAAAATAACTAATGAAAAAGGTAAATGAAGTAATTAATGTTTGATAGTGTGAATAATAACTGGAAAGAACATTTTAGAATAAAAAATAATAATAAATTAGTAGTATTAACTAGAAGAATTTATTTAAATATACTAAAACATAATAACTTTCTCAAAATAGCACCACATGTGTTTTTCTTCCCAATGTAGCACTTTTAGTCATTATGAATTGGTAATTATTTAAGCAAAATATTTGCCATCATTAGATATTATTAGTGTTATTTAGATAATAAAACAATTTAAGTATTATTTTGGAAAATGACTTAAGTTTTAATGCTATTTAGTACAAATATTTATATTAACTATGTTTAATGATTATTTTTAAACTAATTTTTTTTGTAATGATAATTTAACAAAAGAAATTTGCACGAACAATAAAACAAAAGCTACACACAAGAACTAAAAATAAATTTAATTCTTTAATAAATAGGGAGTAATAAACAATTTTAACCAACTTAAAAAAAAATGAAAATTACCCCCACTGGCATCATCACTCCCTGGCCCACTTGAATCACGCAGAACACCAGCCACACCACTTTCCCTTCTTAAATACACCTTCACATCGTCCCTTTCCCCTCACCGCCGAGCACTCTTTCTTTCTTTCTTTACAGACTTCTTCTCAGACCTTTCTGAAATATTAATTTATCGATTTACTAAAAAGAAAATGGCCATCAGAAAATCGGGCAAGCTGCCGCTGCAAACGGCGGCGATCAAGCAGATTCTGAGGCGGTGTTCGAGCATGGGGAGGAAGACCGCCGGCTACGACGGGGACGAAATGTCGCCGCCGGTCGACGTCCCGAAGGGCCATTTCGCGGTGTACGTCGGGGAGAAGAGGGTGCGGCACATCGTCCCGATCTCCTTCCTCAGCCGGCCGGAGTTCCAGTGCCTCCTCCGCCGCGCCGAGGAGGAGTTCGGGTTCGATCACGACATGGGCATCACTCTCCCCTGCGAGGAACTCGCCTTCCGCTCCTTAACCTCCATGCTCAGGTAGAAGCGCTTCCCGGCGGCGGCGGCGGCCTCTGCGGCGGTTTCCTTCTTTTCTTTTCTTTTTTTTTTATTAAAAAAAAACTCATTTTGGGCTGATGCATGTCCTCTAACCCGACCCGACCCATGGCTTGTTTTTTTTTTTATAAAAAATGGGTTTGAATTTGTAATTCAAGAGATGGAGGAGGAGTTGTGGTGTTGGGTTTTTCCACCGAGCGGCGGTGTGTGTGTGTTTTGTTCATAGGCCCTTTGATGATTTGGAGATCAACAAAACTAATCTTTGATTATCATTGTCTTAATAGTTCTGTCTACTCCACTTTATTTTTATATTCTCCCCTTCCATATTTGCCCCTATTTATCATTTTTCTCATGTTGGAGGATCACATTTACTATAGTTTTGGTTGGGTATCTCACATCAGATGTATACCACACCCACAAACATCATATCTCTGTGTGAACACAAAGAATTGATGTTTGTGCGTGTCCGTGATATCATATAAAATTATGTGACACAAAGAGAATAAAACATATTTATTTGTGAACTTTGTGAACTATTTGTTTGTGACTCTAGCATTTTTCTATTTAGTTCTTGACTATTTTTTTAAATGTGGCCTTGGTATCCCATCCGGGATAGATCTCACTTCACACTGACATAACAAAGTTTTAAGGTTTCATTTATCTCATTTCTAGATTACTATTCGAGTTGATTTAGGAGACGCTATGATGGAATTTATCTTCTTTTTTTAAAAAAAATGCGAAGTCCACTCTATACTTAAATAAGATTAAAACTACTATATTAATGTCTGATTCTTGTTCTTAAATAAGAACGAGAATAAAATATTTGTATAATATTTCAATAAAACAATTAATACTTAGATAGAAGTAACATTGATCATGCAAAAAAAAAAGTAACATTGACATATGTATTGAGACATTAACACACATAAATAAATAATGGCACAGATCTTCAAATCTATCAACGACGGTTGTCAGATTTTGTTGAAAGTGTGACATTTACACATGTACCATTTCCCATCTATATCATCTGAAAGTGTGACAAGTATACCAAATATATATTCCAAATGTACCTCATTCACTTTTTATCCACATATTTTCATTTGTTTGTTAATTTATTTTTTTGCATCCAAGAGTGTGTGGTGTTGAATCATTTGGAGTACACATTTGGTGTAACCCTAGCTATTTTCTTAACGTTATTGACAATGTTGATATTCAACTCCCATTTTTTAGTTTTTGGAGGCGTTTCCATTAGATTAGCCCCCATGTAATCCTACGAGGCTATGACATGGGAGCGGTTTGAAATTTGTAGTGTTCTGTTTAAAAAATTGATAGTTCTTTCCCTCTAATCTCTCTAATAACTCCTTCACCCCTATTCGATCTGAACCCATCCAATACCTGCCAATTGAATCTCATAAGTTAGTTGACTTTGGAGTTAAATTTTGACTACAAAGTCAACTATATCTTGTAAAGTACAATTGACGGGGGTGGAGCGATAGATTCGAGTCAAGCAGAGGTGGATGATTTACCGAAAATATAGAAGGATATGAACCACTAATTTTTTAAACAGAAGATCGTAAAAGCAACGGGTCATCGTGTGACATTGATTCCCAATTTCATACTCCTTCCGTCCCTAAATAGATTACAATTTTTTTCTCTCCTCTCGATAACTTTTGTTTGTTTATGCGATTTCATTAAGTATTTGATAAAATAAAATATTCTTGTCACCTCTTGTTTTGAAGAACTTTTGACGTAGTTTTTTAATATATATCCCCTCTGGAGGAAGGTAAATCAAAAGGCAAAAAAGAAAAAATCCATCTCCATACATTAATGGGGAAAAATTAGTTGATTTACCTTCTTAAATCAAATTTCAATTATTAGAAAAGAAAATATATCTTCTTAAAAAAGTCATGGGAGGTAAATTTGGGGTTTGTTGCCTTTGTTTCTTCTTGATTAATTTTTTTAATTTAAAGATTTTATAAAAATCCATTTAATTTATTGGGAAAAAAATTAGAATGTCAGTTGTCAAATAATTAAATACCCGAGTAGAAAAAACTTGAAAATACAGAGTACAAAATTTTAAAAAAAGTATACTCTTTTTGTTAATTCTTGACTCGTTAAGTTTTACAATTATAAAGATACAAATTAAAAATTTATAATAGTACACTTAAGCAAATATACAAAAAAATACAATAACTAAAGTAATTGATAGATATTTAAAAGGTGGGAAAAGTTGATATACCTCTTCAAATGAAGAAGGTAAAGATACCTTTTCAAAATTTAGGAAGGTATAATGCCTCCTTATTACTTCTACCATTGGAGAATGATTTTTAATAAAAAAAGGTATATATCACAATTATTACTCTTTACCCTCACATATACCCCTTCCATTGGAGTTGCTCTAATGGAGCCGCTGCTTTATTAGACATTTATTATTCATTTTTTAATAATGACAAAAATACTAGAATAAAAAATAGAAGGTGTGAAATGGTATTATATGCATAATGATATTCAAAACTAAATGAAAAATAAAATAGTAAATTAAAATATTTTTTATTGACTAAATATCTAATATATAATATTAAATGTTATTATTATTATTATAAACATCATTTGACTGGGTCGTTGACCCCTAGTTTGACCGGTTCGACTTATCAACCTTTGATTTAGTACGTCATCTGGATTGACGTTTGGTAAGATTTTCAGAACATTGTTCAACAAGGGAATTTTAGTTGAGATAATATATTTTAGAGAAGTGCCAGATTCACAAATAAAATGGTTACAAATTATTTGTCACATTTCTATTACCGAGGCAAAATATCAAGTTTTTTAAATTTATTTTATTTACATATTGGTAAAGAAATAAAAAATAAAAATTACATATCAAAAAACTACATGAAAAGTTCTTCAAAATAAGAGACGTCAACAATATTTTATTTTATCAAATAACCAATGAAAACGTAGAAATAAACAAAAGTTCCCGCGACTGCTGAAAAAGCAAATGTGACAAATAATTTGGGACGGAGGGAGTAATTTATAGTTTAAATTCTCATATTAAAATTATTTTATACTATTTTTTTTATTGAATTTCACAAATAGTAACTTTTTGAAATTTGTGATTATTTTATTTGTGAACCAAACGTTTTTCTTTATGATAAGTGTTTGATATTCGATATTAAATTTTGACATCAGTGTTTGATATAAAAATTCCACACCAGTATTTATAACATGACCTTTCTAAATTCTAATTTAACTCCAACAAAAACTAAAAAGTCACTATTTTGGTCTATGTTTACAATAAATAAGAGTTTATTCTGGTCAATCTATTTTTATTATTTATTTTTTATTTTTTATTGAAATCAGATTAGATCATATTAAAAGCAACTTTAAATCTAATGACAATCAAAATAAAACTCATCCAATCATATCAGATCAAATCAGATCATGTGAAGAGAACAAATCCTATGCACATATTTTAAAATAATTTCATGTTAAGTTCTTGTTTCATGATTCTAAAGCCACCATAGGAAACTTGGGCTTTCATGCACTTTTTCATGAAAGTAATTTACTTAAATAGGACTAAAAGATAATATCTTTCTCAAAATAGGACCATATGTTTTTATTTTCTAATGTAGGATCATTGGTCATTATCTATTAGTACAGTCATTATTCAACTAAATGTCCAGCATCACTTGGACATTATTCCTCTCAATAATCATTATTAGGTCTTATTTAGAGAATAAAAAAGTTTAAGTCCTACATTGGAAAAAATGACTTATGTTTTAGCCATATTCAGTGCAAATTTCACTTTTTTCATGGATTAGTAAGTACTACCTAATCTCTTTTATATAAAAATCTCAATTCTTTTATGATATTAATTTACTAAAATCTATAAAATGAAATAAACTTTAAAACCACTTAAAAACTTTCATTAAATGTTTAGTTTTAGTATTTCATAAAAACTGTATTTGGCATCATTTAGTTTTTACATTTTAAAAATTAATCTACATTATTCAAAATTATCCAAGACTTAAACATACTCCCACGCATTACGCACATGGTCAACTTTGGATATGTGGTCGGCATTTCTTTAACTTTTCCCTAAATTTGACACACTCAATGTTTAAAAAGAAACTTTGAAATTTACTCCATTATTATACTAATACATCTTCACATTAAGTCCTATATATTGTGCAAAATATAGTGCATCTTTTTAATTATTTAGGTCATAAATAATTAAACAACGCCTTTATCTTTGACCTATAAGACACAAACAATTTAATAACTAGTAAAATTTATATTTATCGCGGAGTATTTATTTTATATAATTTTATAATTTTATCCCCACTAACAAATTAAAATTCTTCTCTATTACGTACTATATATTTAAAGACCACTATGAAAATGTTTGGCACTATTTTTTACTCCATATTTATGTTTTTGAAAGTTGTCCCATTAAGCCATGGGAGGGTAGTCTATCGTTATATATATACTCCATATATTGATATATGTGAGATGGTAATTAAAAGAAGAATAATAAAAACATTACACAAAAGAGTGAGCCAAACTAAGAAAAATTATTAATTACAATAATAAGTACTAACAATATACAGTAATAAATAGTCAAGCAACTTTTTGGATATGACATACTGAGTAAATTTTTAAAAAAGAATTTTACAAGATATACTCCATCCGTCCTAAAACTTTCTTCCCAAAGCACTATTCTTACTTCACAGAAATTTATATTTATTTGTGTTTTTTCATGACCTATATGATAAAGTAAAATATTCTTGTCACCACTTGTTTTGTTGAACTTTTGGTGTAGTTTTTAAATATGTATGTTTTATTTTTTATTTCTATACCAATATTTAAATAAAATAGATTGAAAAAACTTGAGATTTTTCTTCGTTTTGCGAACCGGGAAGAAAGATATAGGACGGAGGGAGTATTTGAACACAAATATTTATAGAACTTCGGCATTATTCAATACCTTTTCGTACCACTATTTTTTTCACATTTTTTTGAACGTTAATAACTCTTTCGTAATATAGTATCTGTCTATACATTGTTAATATATATTAAGCACGTAGAGTTATTACATCTATTTATTGTAGATCGAATTTGTGACCTCCAACTTTTTTCATATTTAATCCTTTTCATCGGACCTATTATTTTTGTTACATTCTATATTCGGCCATATTTATATTGTTTGTAATCACTCTTACTTTATCTTATTCTTTAACACCAACATCAACCAGCAAATTTTTTTAT